CCTGCTGAATAAAATTCCACTCCAGAAATTCAATCAGAGAAACAACCATCCCATTACCACTGTGCGCGTGTACTTGTTTGGCAAAAATTTCGAGTCTTTGAACTAATTTGAGAAGTTTTTAAATCACCATATATTTTTCACTTTCAAAGTAACTGACTTTAATTTTTGACTGAAGTCCTCAATGTGATACTCAAGCACAGTTCATACGGGAATTCCTTGAAAAATTTTTACTAGGGCCATACCTTTAGTAAATTTTCCTGAACACTTCGATATTTATTTAATAATTATTAATTGCCATTTCGACGTATAAAAAATTACCATTCGCCTTGTGGGATCCTTCAAAACTTTTTAGGGTAATTCGCCTTGTGGGATCCTTCAAAACTTTTTAGGGAAAAACAAAAATTTCAAGACTATTATTAGTAAATCCGTTGCTAGTAGCACTGCCCAAACGCCTTGCCATAAGTTGAATAGTGAGAGACGAAAGAAATGTGGGATCGGGCGGACAAGGGGGAGGGTGAGGTTTGGATGCATTACTAGCAACTGTCTGATGTCCAGAGAATTTTTTCCGATCAATGCGAACATTTTACAATCATAGTGCGAAAAAGCAAAGGCTGCTAATGTATTGGCTTCGCAACATTTATTAACCGATTAACTAACAAATAAATCTTGGGTGCTTACTGCGCCACCAGTATTGTTGTTGATGTCACCAAGACTGTTATCAGTTTTGTTATTAATAGTGTTATAATAACTATAATAATAATAATAATTCTTATTATTATAATTATTATTGTCGAGCACCCACAAAATGTTCGGATTGGTTGGAGCATAAGCATTAGATCAGGAAATGCTGTGCAACGTATTTTGTTCCCGGCAACATTATTTACAACAGCTACTTCGTTGCCAAACGGATCACATTGCTGCTGTTTGAATGTTTTTCGAAGTTCTTAGAATGAAGACCAGCTCCATCAGTGTCCCTAGTGGAATAGTTGCAACCTTCTTCAGTCTCCAAATCCATGCATTAGTCTTATTCCTTTTTCGCAAGTCTGTTCACTTCAACAGAGCGCTATTTCAATGTTTCTTAAAATCTCTGTTAACGTATGTGATACTGTGCTCCAAATTTAGACCTGATGTTTCAAAATCCCAGATTTTAATAGAAAGTCGTCAGTGGCCTTCATCACCATCAATATTGTTGATGATGCTGCTAGTATTATTCATTAAATTATTACAAGCTACTTTATTGACAATGGAGAAATGAATTTGCCAGGAGAACCGCTGAGGTGATATCCCTTCAGGAAACGAAACAAACGTGCAATAGGCCATGTAGTATTGGTCAGACCAATTAAAAAAGTTACCAGCTGCATAGCTAGAGAACCACACTACTAATTGTAAAGCAACAAAATGAAGCGCAATCACTACTATTGGAAACACTATCATTAATAATGTTAGCGAAACTATTGTTGTATAACTTTGCGTTAAGGATTCGGTTGACTACGTAAGCAGAATTTCCCAGAACGGTGTTTTCTTTTCTCAAATCCTGTGGAAGCATGAGGAAAAAAGTGCATCAAGTCGTTTACATAACATCTGCGTTACGCTTCCTCGAAACCACATTTTCAAGGGAAGAAAAAAAGGAGACGGAATTGCTCTGGTTGGCTGGGTGGAACATGAAAACTACGAAGAAAGGGAAACGATGAGCAGAAGCGCCGCACTCTCATGCAATCACACCAAACAATTCTTCAGATGACCTAAAAAAGCACATGAAATTTCGCCCGAAAACTATCCTCCTTTTGCCATCAATCTCCGACTTGTTGCTGAACCAATTTGCCCTCTCAAAATCCCTCCATAAACTCGTGCCACAGCCAAAAAATCAATTTCTGAAGCACAATGAATGGCTTTCCAAGGATTATCCTTTTTTCAATAGCAAAATATTATGTTTAGTTTAGTTCTGCTGCCTTCACTCTTGCCCCTTCCCCTTTTTTTTCCCCTTCCTTCTCATAATCCACAGACATCTGCCTAAAATCTCAAGAAAAACGAGTTGAGGAATAATGGACTAACCCGAATGGCACCAAAATAAGACGACTGAAAGCGAAATTTAACGCAAATAATGTAAAAGCTGGAAGAAGGAATGCAGAAAATTAAAAACGCAAAAAAATTTGTAAACATGCTTTTTCGCTTTTACGGAAAAATCACCACATGCTGTGTGCCCGAAAAACTTGATTTGAATTTGTTCGGTTACAGTTTCACAACCGCCGCTCCAAATGGGGAAAAATGCGAATGGTTCCTTTCCTGAGCATAGCTTTCCCCAACACTTCTCCTGGACCAATAAACTCATGACAGAAATACTGATTTGAATGCAATTTTTTTTCGAATTCAGATAAACAGAAAACGAAGAATTGAAGATTTACTATGCTGGCAGCATAAATGCACGCAGATCAGAATTACACGTCCAAATCGGGCACATATAAAATCAAGTTCATTTTTGTCTTCCTGAATAGATGACAAAATAACGAGACAGATCGTCCAGGCTATCAGTTTTCACGTAATACACGTGACTGAAATGCAACCACGAGCAACGCAATCGTAAGCATCAACAAAAAAACTGTTTCATAATCATAAGTA